AGCGCCATGTTAGTATTCTTTTTCTTTCTTCCTTCAAAATTCCGTTTCTTCTAGTGCAGCCGTCTTGCCTCAGTTCTGAGTCAGACCTTCCCAGAGGATGGGCTACAAAATGGGGCTCTGTCCTCTCAACCACCTTATTATCTCCAGAAATCAAGGGCTCTGGCCTTCTGGATTCAAAGGCTACATTGCTAACTTCCCACTAGAGCAAAGAGTGAGCAACAGACCATCAAGCGAGGGCCTGGCAAGGATGATTCTCAGAATGTCAGGCGGTTTTTACCCATGCCTCCAGCTGTCTGCTGGAGTCCCCTTGTTCCTAAGTATGAATTTCACCAAGCCACCCGACCTCTCATCAGTCCTCCTCTTCAGATTATGCACTCCACTGCCTGTCCAAAGCTCTAAAAACAGAATTAATAGTTAGACAATTGAGGAGTTAGTCATCATCCAAGTGGTCAGGAAATCCCAGAAGAATCATTTCTCCTTTGCTACATAGGAAATAAAATGTAAAGGCTCTTCTACGTAACTCATGTCTTCCACCTGAAAAGTTCTGCAAGGAAACTGAAGCACGTTCCACAGTAGCCCTTCTGTACATCTGTTCACTCAGATACAAAGCTCCCATTGTTACTCAAAAAAAAAAAAAATCTAGGATATCAAGGTGATGTTGGCCAGTGTTGATCAAATTCTGTGACAGTAACTACTAGAAGAAGAAAAAAAAACACAGTTCATAAAGAAAAAGAAAAGGCTGTCCAGTTCCCAAAGGAGAACTGCCTGTCTCCAAGGTGTGGCTACATTTGACTGACCCTACTTTTATAATCCTAGTTTTCTTCAGTGGTGTTATAGCCAGGCTCCTATCAAAAGCTAGTGGGTTGGGGCTGGAGAGATGGCACAGTGACAAAGAGCACTGGCTGCTCTTGCAGAGGACCCAAGTTCGAAATCCAGCACCCACATGGTGGCTAATAACCATCTGTAACTCCAGTTCCGGGGGATCCAATGTCCTCGTCTGACCTCCATGGGCATTGCATAACACAGGTGCACTTACACACATGCAAGCAATACACTCATACACATAAAATAAAAATAATAAATAAAATATTTTTAAAAGCCAGTGGGTTATGAATCAAGGTCACTGAGGCTGTTCTCACTGTTGGAAAACCACAGTCAGAAGCATAGAAATGGTCCTTGCCTTCCCACTGTGGGACCACTGCCAGCTTTCTTTTGCTTCCTCTTCCTTGTCTACGTTCCTGATTTTTCTACCAAAGAATATCACATGTTATTTTTATTTAGGAGGCAGAGGGAGGGGATTTCAAGTTTGAGGTAACCTGGGCTATATAACAATTTCAAAACCAGCTTAAGCTACGTAAAGAGGTCAAGGCCAGCTGAGTTACATTTCAAGACTTTTTCGCAAAGAAAATCAATTAAAATCTGTTTACTGTTTAGAATGCAGTGTCTCCCACTTTACACACAGTGTTACTCTATTATTCCTACTGAAAATGTATTTTAATGAATCTCTCTAAAAGGGAACATCTATTGGACCATAGCTTGGCTTGCCAACATAAAGTCTTCATTTAAAACCTTGGCTCAGACTAGGAAGATGACCTAGTGGGTAAGAGCACCTGCTGTACAAGCATGAGGGCCTGGGTTTGGGTTCCCGGCACCCAAGTAAAAGCTGGGCATGGCCACCTGTGCCAATAATCCCAGCATTTGGGATTACTGAGGGGACAGGGGGACCCCTGGGGCTTTCTGGTCAGCCAGTCTAGCAGAAAAACAGAGAGCTCCGGGTTCCACGAAGGCCCTGCCTCAAGGGAGTAAGAGCACGACAGAGCCAGAAAGCACACACCCTCCTCTGGTCTGTACATAGGCACACGCACACACACACACACACACAGACACACACAAACAGACACACACACAGACACACACACAAATACACACGGACACACACAGACACACACACAGAGACACACACACAAATACACATGGACACACACAGACACATACACACACACACACACACACAGACACACACACAAATATACACGGACACACACACACACACACACAAACAGACACACACACAAATACACACGGACACACACAGACACACACACAGAGACAAACAGACACACACAGACACACACACAAATATACACGGACACACACAGACACACACACACAGAGACAAACAGACACACACAGACACACACACAAATATACACGGACACACACAGACACACACACAGAGACAGACACACACACAAATACACACGGACACACACAGACACACACACAAATACACACACACACACACAGACACACACACAGACACACAGACACACACACAGACACACAGACACACACACAGACACACAGACACACACACAGACACACAGACACACACACAGACACACAGACACACACACAGACACACAGACACACACACAGACACACAGACACACACACAGACACACAGACACACACACAGACACACAGACACACACACAGACACACAGACACACACACAGACACACAGACACACACACAGACACACAGACACACACACAGACACACAGACACACACACAGACACACAGACACACACACAGACACACAGACACACACACAGACACACAGACACACACACAGACACACAGACACACACACAGACACACAGACACACACACAGACACACAGACACACACACAGACACACAGACACACACACAGACACACAGACACACACACAGACACACAGACACACACACAGACACACAGACACACACACAGACACACAGACACACACACAGACACACAGACACACACACAGACACACAGACACACACACAGACACACAGACACACACACAGACACACAGACACACACACAGACACACAGACACACACACAGACACACAGACACACACACAGACACACAGACACACACACAGACACACAGACACACACACAGACACACAGACACACACACAGACACACAGACACACACACAGACACACAGACACACACACAGACACACAGACACACACACAGACACACAGACACACACACAGACACACAGACACACACACAGACACACAGACACACACACAGACACACAGACACACACACAGACACACAGACACACACACAGACACACAGACACACACACAGACACACAGACACACACACAGACACACAGACACACACACAGACACACAGACACACACACAGACACACAGACACACACACAGACACACAGACACACACACAGACACACAGACACACACACAGACACACAGACACACACACAGACACACAGACACACACACAGACACACAGACACACACACAGACACACAGACACACACACAGACACACAGACACACACACAGACACACAGACACACACACAGACACACAGACACACACACAGACACACAGACACACACACAGACACACAGACACACACACAGACACACAGACACACACACAGACACACAGACACACACACAGACACACAGACACACACACAGAGACACACACACACACACGCACAGCCTTAGCTCATCTCTTTACATTGGGATGGCTTTTAAAGAGTTCTCTCAAAGAGCCTCTTTGAGGTGAACAGAGGAAGCTGGTCTATAGAGGAGGCATGATACTTTCTTCATGGGTAGTAGGGAGCATTGAAAGTTCTCATGTGTACTTGGGTTTTTGCATATGTTCAATAAACACTTCCTGGTTTTCTTTCTTACTCTCACCCTGAGAACTCTTAAGTATCTTTAAAAGACAATGAAGGCACATTTCATAAACTCTTTAGAGGGAACCTCAGTGTCCTTCCAAGTCCATCTAGCGTCCTTCCCTGGCCGATGTTCCCAGAGCCTTTGCAGAGCACAAGCCACAGTTTCTTTGGCTGTCTCGATCAGAGGACAGGTATCACCATAATTATGTCATTGTTTTATTTTAGCAACAATATGAGTCCCTCAAAAATTGAATCTTTTAAGAGGGACCCTCAGTGTCCTTCCAAGTCCATCTAGCGTCCTTCCCTGGCCAATGTTCCCAGAGCCTTTGCAGAGCACAAGCCAGTTTCTTTGGCTGTCTCGATCAGAGGACAGGTATCACCATAATTATGTCATTGTTTTATTTTAGCAACAATATGAGTCCCTCAAAAATTGACTTATGCTGGGCGTGGTGGCACACGCCTTTAATCCCAGCACTTGGGAGGCAGAGGCAGGCGGATCTTTGTGAGTTCGAGGCCAGCCTGGTCT